TATTTTTCCCAGATTTTTATACATCGTCTATAGCAAAATTCTAGTAAAGGTTGGAGGAAAAGATTTTAATATGAGTATTAGCTATTATTGTATACTGTACATGATATCATTTGACCTTGGGAAACTTTTTATGTTTCTTATTTTCTTTCTAATGTCGTGACCTCTAAAACACATTAGTAAGAGCCTCAATTTTAAAAAAAGTCCAAATTAACATGATTAACATTCATGTTTTGCCTACGAATAAACTTACTAATATTCGTGTTTTGCCTACCTATAAACCTTATTTGAATGTTGCCTCTTGTCTCACTAATATCCTGGCCCAGGACCCAATCCAGAATCCTACAATGTACTTAGTCTTCATGCCTCTATAGTCTCCTCCACACTGCATCAGTACCTCCATCTGTCTTTCTATTTCATGACTATGACACTTGTGAAGAGTACTGGTCATTTATAGAATATCCTTCTATTTGAATTTGCCAGATGTGGCTCTTTATCTCCACAATCCCCAGTGAGGCCTGATTATTCTGTGGGTGGATTCTTAACCTGAGAGCAGCCGTTACATTGATCTGCCAGGCCAGGTAACTTGAATTATTTTGAAGAAAATGAACAGAATTGATGCATTCTTGGAAGACAGGATACAGAATTGGGAAGTTCAAAGATCAAAGTAGTGATATCAGTGCTTGAGATAAAAAGTAACACAGAGTCAAGTATGGGGAAGCCATTCCAGGACACAGACAAGATGAGCAGGCAGATGTCTCCAGTCAGTAGGAGAAGAGAAGGAGGGAGATATACACAGTGAAATGACACTGAGAGAAAGAAACACAGAGATAAAGACAGAAAGACAAGAAAGATTCTTTGAGATACCCTGAGGTACTGTATCCTGGGATCATCACAGCTTTCCAGTAATTGGGTCCCATTTCCACAAGAACTACTGTTCTTGGATTCTGCAAGTTCCCAGCTGTGGCCTGAAAACTGGTTTTTGTGAGCTAGCATAAAGGAGTCTTGGCCTTCTGCAATGAAAATGGACCTAACACATACACACACACACAAATTGGGAAGAGCAAGTAAGGAAAAAATATAATAGTTGTGGCACAATCCAGACAGAACTAGATGCCTCTTCAATGTTTTGATTCAGTTGCAGTTTTACAAAGCTTATGTGACTGACTACAAATTAATCTAGACACTTACACAGACTTTTGCAGAGCAAATCACTATAGGAGTAACTAATCACTAAATTCATTGCATGGTTCCATGGCCTGAAGAAAATCTCAATTAAAACATTTCTTAATGCAGCATTAACCTTTCTGATCTCAAGTGTTTATTTTTCCCTGTTGCATAGTATATGTTATTCTTTCATTAGTGTGACCTTAATCATCTGCAAATTTGTCAGGTATTGTTGAAATACAGTACTCTAAATAACCCAGGACTCAAGAGCCCCAAGCTGCATGCTTGCCTGATTGGGCAAATAGAACAAAATTGGAAGTTCTTTTTCTCATTTGTTAGCTTAACTTTTAAAAGAAGCAGTTAATTTTCAAAACCTAATTCAAGTTCAAATAGCTCATTTTTCACAGTGAAAGATGATTCTTAACTTTCTAAACTTTTCATCATCTAGATGTATACTCTTCAGCTTATAATCTTAAAATGTTTATCTTCTGATTTGTCTTTTTATGAGTTAAGAAAACTTGTGGTTTTTTGTATTAGCATTCTAGCTGCTCAAGGAAAATGTCATTAAGGAGGATACACACAAACACACATGTGCACACACACCATTTTAAGCATTGCTTGTAGAGTTTTATACCCATTCTGCCACATTTACAAATGAACAAATGTATGGATCTGTGACTGGTTTCTTGTTACATTCATCCTTGAGTCCCTTTCAGATACTTGAAATGAAATGAATGACAGCTCTTTGTAACAGGTTAAAGCTGCAGTGTATCATTTTGTCTCAAAAATGTGAGTTAAAGACCACTAGTAGATTATCTTAAGGTATAAATATTTATCCAGTATAATTTTGTTTAGGCATGAATTAATAATTTATTTTAAAAATATGAAACAAGCAAGCAAACAAAATATATTGATATCTTATGAAAAGCAAATCAGAACTTCTCCCTAAATTCTGATGACTACTTCATGATGGCAAGTGAGAAAGTATACTAAATAAATTGTTCCCAGAACCTTTGGCATTGTAAATTTGCAAAGATAAAGAACCAGTGAGCTCTGTTTCTGAGATACATTGCTTCGAATTAGTAATTTACTCATAAAAGAGCCGAAGATAAGAAATAAGTGAAGGAATAGTTTACTTTATAGAAGATAATTTTAAAAATTTGGCCATGAAATGTTTCTATATAGCAATGTCATTAAGAAGTAGGACAAGTTTTCATAAAATTAACCATGTTAGGCTTTTCCTCTATATATTATTGAATATGATTCATTTACATATTATATTCATGAGATGTTATTAAACTTGTTAGTACATGTAACAGCCATATTAGTAATAAATAAGCATAATGTAAATTGCTTTTCTCTGTATATATTCTTTTACTTCAGCTGCTTATAAAAGGTACACAATAGATATTTGCCAAGTGGATTTCTCTTTTTAGTAGTCAGATTCTCTAGTAGCTTGGGGAATTTGGTGAAAACCATCTGGATAGTTACTGTCCTTAGTCTCAATTGTGTTGTACATGCTATGTTAAACAGAGTGTCTACATTGACCTAAATTGCTTTAGATCACTGGAAACAGAGTACAAAGTTTTTAAATCCTGAGTTGTTGTTAGGCTAGAGTAAGTCAGTACATGGAAAGTCCATCAGCACCTGATCCATAGTAAATACTGAGTAATACTCTTATTATCATTTTGAAAAAAAAAACATTTCTTAAGATGCTCCACAATTTGGTGTTATATGTTTATTAAGACACGACTTACCTAAGAATTAAGTGAGGTCATAACCTAGACTTTACATTAAAAAAAAAACACTAGAAAAATTTCTTCAGTATTTAAGCTTAGCTCCAGTGAAAGAATACATCAATGAAAACACTGAGAAATATGCCAAATAAAATGTAAAACCTCTATGTATTTAAAAGAAGTTCAGCAAAACTAAAATCTTAGCAAACACTTAAAAATATATATGTACCATATGATAAAGAATTAATATCTTCAATACATAAGGATCTCTTATGAATTGATTTTTTTTAATGAGAAAAGCACAAAAGAAAAAGTAATTGCTCGAGGATTAACAAATAAACAATGTTCAAACTAACTGGAAATCCAAGAAATGTAAATAAAAACAACTACAGGCTTCCATTTTAAAATCAATTTGGTTGATTTTTTAAATAATGATATATAATGCTTTTTCTACCTATTCAAAATACCAAAACTTTAAAGACTGCCTTTTGTAACTCATTTGGCCGCAAAATGTATCCTGACCTGGACTCATTTGCAGCAAACCAATGCTAACTGATATCAAGTAGTCCATTTGAATGCCTCGTAGTGTGAATGACAGAATCTTGGTTGCAAAAATTCTCATGTGTTTGATTATAAAGTACTTCCCCAGATTCTGCTTGGAGTGCTATAGAATAGCAAATAACACAAATTGCATTTGTGTTAACTTTCTAAAATCAGAAAAATTCTGAATTTCAAAACCTAGGTCTGTCCCTAAATTTTGGATGAGGAATTGTGGATCTGTACTTAATTTTGATGGTACAAAGTCACTCATGAACTCCCAGTGAGATTTTAAATTGGTTCTCTTTACTGAGTGAGAAGGTGGTAATCTGTCAATATCAATAAAAAGCCATAAAAGGCTGCCTGCCCTTTCATCTGAAATTCCATGTTTAGGAATTTTATCATTACTAAATTACTAGGAGAATGATGATAGATTTAGTAAATCCAACACATATTATATTTACAGGTAAAAACTGGAAAGTCCCAAATAGTCAGTAGTAGAAGACTGGTGGGATTACACAGGCTCTGTGTAATATATATATATATGTTGTATATGTTTTAAGAATATTCACCAAAAGATTAACAGTGATTATCTCTGGATGGCAGAATTGCAGGTGATTCTAATTTTTTAAAATATCTGTGCCTTCTCTACAGTGAACATGTTACTACTAACTATAATAAAGCTTTTAAATTTCATTTAAATATGTTATTCAAAGCATGTCAATATATCTTAGATTTCAAATTCTCACTCCCTCTATATATATATAATTAATATAAAGAAAAATATGATAGTCTACATATTTATAGGTGTTAGTAATTATAAAGGCTCAATGATTTTTGAAAACAGTTTTATAAGGCAAAGCCTGGTTTTCAAATAGCTTGTTTTTGCCTGCAGTTGCATTTATAGTATTGTTGATATTTTACATCTTTGTATATTAAAAATAGCTATGGAGAATGGGAAATATGAACTACATTGTCAAGGAAAGTGTGTTTGGCATTTTAGACTTTATAAAAACTATGCCCAGACAATATATTGGCAGTATTCAAATTCTGACCCATGTGGACAGAACAGCAAGCTACCCGTCTCAACTAGCAGAATGTCAACTGAGAACTTACCATGTACTTGTTTCAGTCATCAGAAGTGATTTGCTATCCGCAGAAGTATATTTTGAAAAGATGATCTTTATCCTGAAATCCTCCTTGTGAAAATACAAATAAATAAGAAAGCTGTGTGCACTTTCAGGACAGCGATTTGCCTTCTGTATTGCCTTGAGTGGTGACAACATGATGGTGTTCCGTCCTACTGCCTGGCATGGGATAAACAGCTAGACCAGCAGTGTATCCGCAGAGCAGAGAGCTCTCTGTGTTTTAACTGCCAATTTCCAAGTCAATGCTGCTTATGTTTCCTACAGTATATGTCAGAAATTTGATACTGACTCTGAATACTTTATTCCACTTTGGTAGCCTATCTCTGCAATTCATGAAAAATCAAATTATATTACTTATTAAAAATTGTGATATCTCTGACTCATTTACTGAAAGAAGTAACTCTTTATTTTTCAGAGCTTCCATATGGCTGGGAAAAAATCGATGACCCCATATATGGCACTTATTATGTTGAGTAAGTCTCTGAGTTTGATATTAACTTGTTATTAATACATTGTGAAATTGTTAGTATTTCATTTATTGAGCATGTGTGGCCAACAACCCTTTTATTTCCCTTTCATCTTACTCTGAAGCATCCATGAAGACTCTGGCAGCACTAGCTAGCTGATTTGTCCCTCTCCAGCTAGCTAATTTGTCATTCCTTTGACTCATGATTCTAAAACACCCTTTGGAAAAGATTGTTTCACACTGTCCTCTAAATGAGTGATAGTTAAAGGTATCAAAGTAAATGCTCTTCATTTTGCAATCAGAATGTTGGGAGCTGACTAATTGTACAAAAGAGATACTCTATTAAACCATATTTCAAAGTCAATTAAATTAAGCAGCTATACTTTCTAGTTGAAGGATGAAATAAAATTTAGATATTTTTTCTTTTTAAGGCCCTATTTTATGGTATCTATTGGAGGTCACCTTGCGTTAATGTATCTTAGCATAATATGAGCTAACCCCTCTGCATCCTTTTATTCTGAATAAAGTTCCTATTAGGGGTTAAATTATACACATATTTTTTTCTTAGGAGAAATCAAGTAATAGTCATAATTTTCAAAAGTTAAATATGTGATTTATTTTTCCAAAGCCCTGTCTTCTGATAGAGAATTTTTTTATTCTTAGCTTTTGCATGGTGTTGTTATTATTTGAGTGAGTAACCAAGCCTACATATTCCCTATGGGAAGTATACTGTCTAAGAAATGCAGAGTTTCAAAAACTAAAGATGTTCACACTATCAAGATCTAACTCTGTTTTCTCTAATCATGTTCTATTTAACAATAATAATCTAGATGGTCAAGGGTTACAGATTGATGGCATTGTTGCATAATTGTTTTTGTAACAGTATTCAAATAGTTACTGAGCTTTTACTGGGTGTCAACCCTTTCTCTGCACTGGGAGGTACCTATGAGTAAGACCTGTGTGCTGCTGTGTGTTACCTGCCCTGGAGGATATCCCTCATGAGCACTTGTCTTGAGTACTTTGATCCACCATCTGCATTTGGATCACCTCCAATTTTGGCACCACAGTCAGTGATTTCCAGTCAAGGTGAATTCATATAACATAGAATCTAATGCTCTAATGTCATATGGACACTCAATAGATGCAAAAAGTAGGATAAGCACATGGAGGTATCAGTAATTGCAAAAATAAAGCAAAATCACTTGTAAATATTAAAGGCCCCCTAACCCCACTACATTGCTAATCAATTAAAATATACATATATTTGAATAATAGTGTAGCAGCAGCTCCTAGATAAATCTATCAACATTAAAAGTTTCCAATAAATGCTAGCTTCCTTTAATTCACCGTATCAGACTGTACCATGCCTCAGCCTATTAGGTCTGAAATCCAAGATAGTTCCATGTAAGGAAAGAGAGTCAAGGTGTGCAACATACCAGATCTCATTTCTAACACACTTTCTTGTAGAACTCATTGAACAAGAACTCTTTCCTTAGTCCAGATGTTGAGAAACTCCATAAAGAGCCAGAAAACAAATATTTTTTTGGAGGGAGGGCGGTGGTATGGCCTCTTGTCACAACTCTTCAACTCTGCCATTGCGGCTAGAAAGCAACCATATGTACCACTTAAATGAATGGTGTTTCAATAAAGCTTTATTTGCAGAAACAGGCAGCTGGCCAAATTTGGCCTGTGGGATATAGTTTGCAGACCCCTGTCCTATTCTACTTTTTCATATTGTTCTTCCATGTCCTCAACTCCTTTCAAGCTGACTTCCAATGTGGCAAACAGTATTTAGCTCAGACCTTTCTTCTCTGCCCAAATTATCTATCATGGGTGGGGAAGATACCAACACATCAGATAACAATGCTTCCTACTTTTTTGATCACTAAGGTGTGTGTTCTTCAAGTAAAGATCTGTGTGTTCTTCAAGTAAAGTCCCCAGTGGTTAATTATTGAACTGGACATCAGCTGTGACCCTAAAAGAAAATTGTCTGCATTATCTTTATACTTCAAATAGTTGTCTTTTTGGTTTTCTTAAATTATATTTCTCTCTACATTTATGTACTTCATTTTTCAAGTACACTGCTATGGCAGAAAATTATTCATAATCAAGTCAGTTATGTCTTATATAAGTAGATCAGACTAACATATTTAATGGTTTTAGGTTTCAAGTGATAGTGAAATCATAGATACAGGTCATAGTGAGTCAAATAGCTTAAGTTCCTTCAAGTTGCATCCAGTCCTACTGCATGTCATGGCCTTCTCCCCATTACACAACTCCATAAAGTGTACCAAACAAATAATCAGGCGTATGGGCAAATCAGACCAACCTGCACACTGAGACCAGTAAGTCAAACCTAAAGACAATTTTAAGTATAATTATACTTAGAAATGTCCTCTCAAATTTTGCCTCAAAATAATTAAAATACCTCAATTTATTCTCTATAATATAAACATTACTTGAAATAAGGAGTCATCCATAAGAGCAAAGACAACTGGTCCATTTTAAATTTTCAAATGAATTAACAATTTGTATAGTTTGTTTTAATTGTTCAAAAACTGTGCATCTCATCTCCATTAAACTGTTATTTTCACAGGATATACATTGTTCTGAATAGCAGTCTTGTTTATGGACTCTATATGAATGTGTATGTGACCATAGTGGTTATTCATCATTTTTACTCCATAGAGTATTTCTGCAGGATAAATGTCACCTAATTTCTTTTTTTTATCAAGATATTATTGATATACATTCTTACAAAGGTTTCAAATGAAAAACAATGTGGTCACTAAATTCACCCATAATATCAAGTCTCCCCTCATACCCCATTGCAGTCACTGTCCATCACTGTAAGATGCCACGGAGTCACTATTTATTTGCCTTCTCTGTGCTATACTGTCTTCCCCATGATGCCCCCCACACCATGTGTGGCAATCATAATGCCCCTCAAACCCCTTCTCCCTCCCTCCCCAGCCACCTTCCCCCACCTTTGGTAACTGCTGGTCCCTTCTTGGAGTCTGTGAGTCTGCTAATGTTTGGTTCCTTCAGTTTTGCTTCGTTATTATACTCCACAAATGAGGGAAATCATTTGGCACTTGTCTTTCTCCACCTGGCTTATTTCACTGAGCATAATACCCTCCAGCTCCATCCATGTTGTTGCAAATGGTAGGATTTGTTTCTTTCTTATGGCTGAATAGTATTCCATTGTGTATATGTACCACATCTTCTTTATCCCTTCATCTAATGATGGATACTTAGGTTGCTTCCATATCTTGGCTACTGTAAATAGTGCTGCAATAAACATATGGGTGCATATTTCTTTTTGAATCTGAGAAATTATATTCTTTGGGTAAATTCCTAGGAGTGGAATACCCAGGTCAAATGGTATTTCTGTGTTAAGTTTTTTGAGGAACCTCCATACTGCTTTCCACAATAGTTGAACTAGTTTACATTCCCACTAGCAGTATAGGAGGGTTTGCTTTTCTCCACATCCTCACCTCACATTTGTTGTTCTTTCTATGTTGGCCATTCTAACTGGTGTGAGGTAATATCTCATTGTGGTTTTTATTTGCATTTCCCTGATAATTAGTGATATGAAGCATCTTTTCATGTGCCTGATGGCCATCTGAATTTCTTCTTTGGAGAATAATCTGTTCATATCCTATGCCCATTTTTTAATCGGGTTCTTTGCTTTTTGGTTGTTGAGGTGTGTGAGTTCTTTATATATTTTGGACATTAACAACTTGTCAGATATGTCATTTACAAGTATATTCTCCCATACTGTAGGATGTCCTTTGGTGTAGAGAAGCTTTTCAGTACAATGTAGTCCCATTTGTTCATTTTTTATTTTGTTTTTCTTGCCTAAGGAAATGCATTCAGGAAGAAGTTGTTCATGTGTATATTCAAGAGATTTTTGCCTATGTTTTCTTCTAAGAGTTTTATGGTTTCATGACTTACATTCAGGTCTTTGATCCATTATGAATTTACTTTTGTGTATGAAGTTAGAGAAGAATCCGCTTTCATTCTCTTGCATGTAGCTGTCCAATTTTGCCAACACCAGTTGTTAAAGAGGCTGTCATTTCCCCACTGTATGTCCATGCCTCCTTTACCTTGTGTTAATTGACCATATATGCTTGGATTTATATCTGGGCTCTCTAATCTGTTCCATTGGTCTATGGGTCTGTTCTTGTATCAGTTCCAAATTGTCTTGATTACTGTGGCTTTGTAGTAGAGCTTGAAGTCAGAGAGCACAATTTCCCCAGGTTTATTCTCCCTTCTCAGGATTGCTTTGGATATTCAGGGTCTTTTGTGGTTCCATATGAATTTTAGAACTATTTGCTCTTGTTCATTGAAGAATGCTGTTGGTATTTTGATAGAGATTGCATTGAATCTGTAGAATGCTTTAGGCAGGATGGCCATTTTGACAATATTAATTCTTCCTATCCATAAGCATGGGATGTGTTTCCATTTATTGGTATCTCCTTTAATTTCTCTCATGAGTGTCTTGCAGTTTTCAGAGTATAGGTCTTTCACTTTCTTGGTTAGGTTTATTACTAGGTATTTTATTCTTTCTGATGCAATTGTGAATGGAATTGATTTCTTGATTTCTCTTTCTATTTGTTCATTGTTAGTGTATAGGAATGCATCAGATTTCTGTGTATTAATTTAGTATCCTGCAACTTTGCTGAATTCAGATATTAGATCTAGTAGTTTTGGAGTAGATTCTTTAGGGTTTTTTTATGTACAAATCATGTCATCTGCAAACAGTGACAGTTTAACTTCTTTACCAATCTGAATGCATTTTATTTCTTTGTGTTGTCTGATTGCTGTGACTAGGACCTCCAGTACTAAGCTGAATAGAAGTGGGGAGAGTGGGCATCCTTGTCTTGTTTCTAATCTTAAAAGAAAGGTTTTCAGCTTCTCACTGTTAAGTATGATGTTGGCTGTGGGTTTGTCATATATGGCCTTTATTATGTTGAGGTACTTGCCCTCTATACCCATTTTGTT